TTCGGCCGCGAACAAAATGCAGTTAAAATTTTCTCGCGCGGTCAGCACTTTCTGCAATACGCGCCAGGAGGACGCGAAATAATTCAACTGCTTGCATAATTAGCTCGGCCGGTTAGATTTAACGAGGGCAATAACGCTACTACCTCGTTCTACGACCACTTAGAATATTAAACGATAAAGCACTGACAAGTCCACTTTCGCACCGATAGCTACCGCCTCGTGTTCACCGACGCGAGCCGCTTGTCGCTTTGATCTCTAATAAATTTTCTCGGAAACATTGTACGTAACGTGGAGTCTGCGTTTTTAACGATGTAACTACGGTAGAGCTTACACAGAGCGATCGTCGCCTTTTAGAAGTCGAAAAGGAAATTTACGAACGTTATTCGTGATATTGTAGAAGGATGATTTATTCGCGCCATCGTGACGATGGTTCTTCCTCTCGTTGTTTTTCTCTTTAGGTATGTTAACGCGAGAACTTGATACTTGGACTTGTGATAAAATGTCAGAAAAGGGGTGCACGCAATGCGAGTTCTGCGTTTTTACGACTTAATTACGACAGAGGGTAGATTATATCTGCCACCTTCGTAAACTGCTAAAAAGGTTTAAGAGGTGGTGTTTGTAACTTTATAACGGCCGTTAAATTCTTCGTTTATATCGCCTTTTATTTTGTTTTTACGTTGCTTTGACTTTTCCTATATTTCAGTTTACGTTCGTACGAAATTCTCCTAGATATTTCGTCGTCGACGTTTCTTCGGAAAACGCGATACCGTAGAACGAGAACGTTAATTCTCGAAATAACATTTATCTTTTTTGTTTTACACGAACATTTGATATATTTGTTTTATGAATATTCGGTAATTATGATTTGATGTTATTCGAAACATGTAATTTTGTTTCTCCATTGTGTGCTTTTCTAAAGCTTTTAATCGTAATTGTAAAAAGCACGAAAACCTGACCGTTGTTAACATTAATAGCAACTGTAATTATGAGAATAAATATGGTTTGCAAATCAAACAATATTTGCATATTATTCGTTGCACGTTGCAAGATATCAAGCAAAAATATCGGTTTCATTACGATTCCCTTAATATGATATAACAAGAAAAACCATCTGGAAAATAAGCGAACGTACTCTTGAAAGGAAATTTGATTTAGAATTAAGTACAGTGTTTTTCTTTCATCAATCATGTATTATAATATGATTTTAAACTAGCATGTAATGTTCGCTATCGCAACGTTTACTGGTTTCATGTTAATAACTCTTTATCGCTTCTCTCGCGCCGCGAGCCACAATCTCACGCAGTTTTCCTGTTCCTATTCCGTGTAATATTTAATGTTTAAAGAAATTTCCAGAAGTTTCCTAGCTACGTGCCTTATCTTGCCTCTCTATTCTCGTTTTTTAACTCTGTTCCGCATCTCACAGTCTCATCTACTTAACTAAGCTAAAAAAAGAATTTCACCAGAAGGTTCGTACGAGTCGTTTCAGACTTCGTCATGATGAATAAAAGAGCTTGTTAAATAGTGGAAAAATTATAAAATATACACCTTGTCTCGTATCTTGTACGAAGCGTGACAGAATTCTTCTTTATATTATTTAACGCGTTAACGTTTCATCGAAAGTTTGCCTTTACCAAACGAAAGACGATCGTCCTTTGCGTAAAAAATTAAATCAATTTTTATACGTCTTTTCTTCGTTTACATCGATCCGTTATAATTTGAATTCTGTTCTATTTGCTCGATTATGTAATTTCTCTCATATTATGTAATTTCTTCGTTTACATCGATCCGTTATAATCTGAATTTTGTTCTATTTGCTCGATTATGTAATTTCTCTCATAAGGGATTTTCGAATGATAAGGCTCTCTAATTTCAAAAGGATTCCGTGTTATAATAATACACTCGGGGTTTCTTTTTCTTTTCTCTTTTCAGATGTAGATTGGATCGAGGAATTAAACCGTGGCATTTAAAGAGCTCCGCGCAGAAGGGAAAAGAATCGAAAGTTCTTCCGATAAAAGACGCTCTTTCGATAGGGAAAAGGCAATCAAACGTGGGATAACGCGAAATATATCAGTCCACGTTTAAATGAAATATTTTCCACGCTGTCTAAATACGCAAATATTCCTTTAACGTCGGTCGAACAATTGTATATTTTCTTTGTTAAATATTTAGAAATTGTTATAAATAACGGAGCAAAAATTGAAAAATGCTGTGCGCACTTTTATCTGCTGATCGTTTGTGCAATCATTGTAAATAAAAGCTAACCGGAAATTATCTAAAATACTGCAGCGAAAGCTACTGTATGTGCTTGGCGATATTAATTGACAGGTCGATATCTGCAAATGAAAATTAATTTTATGTCGTTTCGCAAATACACAACTTTTATCGCCTGCACGTACGCGAATATATAAAAATATCTCGATGAAACTCCGAGCTTAAAAATCAACAATACGCATTTCATGCAGAATCGTTCTATAGACATGCCATTTCCTGTGGCGTTTCAGCGAGCTAGCACTAAATAGTTGAACTAAATTAGATTAACGACGTATCGAGAAATCGCGTCGCTTCCTCTATTAACTCGTTCCCTATTATGCTTGTTGCAGACTCTCACACGGCTGCCACGTGAAATTGAGATTTCCCGTGACCGTTTGCATTTCTAACTGCACTCTATGCAAATTGCAAGCCAGTCGCGTGTCGTTTCAGATATCAGGCTTAAACCGTTGTGTGTTAATTCGCAACGGGGCGTACAAGTGTCTGTGTTTATTAGCCCCGGAACTTATCAGCGGTAATGTTGCACGGCGATTGTTAGTGCTGGGCTTATTTCCAACTTGCGTTCCCCTTTCTTTTCTCCTCTTCTTATTTTTCTTATTCCATGCTCTCCTTTTTTTCATCGTCGTCTACCCGATAAGAAGCCAACGTTCTATCATCGTAATAACGCTGGTTCGCGTATCGTGCGTTTTTTCTCCGCGACAGATCAATTTGCAGACCGCCTGCTGGTTGCCCGATTCAGCCGAGGAAAAGAACCGCGCAAAAAGCTGGTTTACACTTGCCATCGATCGATATTAACGCTACATGCAGCCGCTCGCGTCGACCTCCGTGCCATTCAAAACTCTCCATTTTTTTCGCCAACTCCGATAAGATTACCGCGAACCAGCCAACTTCCAGCTCGGCCCGATTAGCCTAAATTAGCGGTGCTGAAGTTGGCGATCCTGGTAGTATTTTTCGATATCCACGGCATTTGTTTCCGTTTTCCACGGACGTTTAAAAGTTCTCTTTCTTCTCTACAATAGAACGCGTTTCTGCTCGACCAGATGGTTTATAAATTCTTGAAATTTATTTCCTACTTTATGGAGTAACTCTGAACGTCTATTTAAGAAAATTATATATCGTCTACGTATGTTACGTACTAGATTCCACGTTGATCGCGTACAATAGATCGTTCGAAGGAATTATTTCATGGTTCGAAAATTCTATTGGTTGATAGCTGATAGACGAATTTATTCGAGAATAAAATCGTCCGATATCTACGGGTTTTGGCTCGTATTACTTTCCGGTGTTTGTCTACATTCTAGAGCAATAGTTGAAATATCGATATCCTGAAATTCGAGAGTTTTCCCTTTCCTATCACGTTCGAGAATTATACGCGTTTATGATACTTTGCTGTATCCTGTGCGTGCTGTTCTTCAATTACTCATTGGCAAGAATTATACTACGAAAACACGAGAGTTTCTCTGACAAGAGTTTCGTTGGAGGATAAAGATCTGTGCCGATGCTGTTTGCAATCGTCGTAAAGGCAAAAGCAAAGCCAATTTTGCGCTAGCGTGTTGATTAATTTCCAAGTAATCTCTATGTACCTCTAAGCGACTTCATGCGGCTTCTTAGAAACGCGGCATGGTCTTACGTATCAATTTTAAGCCGAACAAATTAGAACGACACACGCGAGACTTGGATAAACTTGCTCCATTCTTTACTCGCGTTTGATAACACCTTAGCACTCCATCATCGTAATGACGTTCTCACGTACCAAAGGCTAAACCACGTATCTCTGACGGAAACTAATTTGCACGTAACTGCGTGCTTCTCTTATCGAACCAACGGGGAACAGTAAAAGGCCGATTACGCTTTCTTGAAACTGATATCGCCGATGTGGAGTGCATCCACGAAGCCCGATGTATTATTCAGGACGATGCCTTTTTTTACATAATTTGACCGAAAGAAATATGTCCATAAAGTTGTTTGATCGAGGCGAGGAAAAAGAGCCGATCTATGTAGCCAGGGTTGGTCGGAGTACCTATATACCGTACGTCGATAAAGCACCAACGCGCGTATAGTGTTTGAAGAAAGTTGTAAAGTCAAATTTTCCTTTTTAGCGAATTACGAATTTATTGTTTTTCCCGTTTCGTAGCATTTTTATGTTATTCTGTGAGAGATTCGTTATTTTTGCTGGCTTGCGACGGTTTTATATTTTATATATTATTTATTTTATCCTGATGCCGTGATCGAGTATCATGTTGCATCGGTAGAACAAGGTGGACGATGCTTTTTCTTTGATGATCTTAACGAAGAATGAAATTAAATCGAAATGCTTCTTCGTAGTAACATTTCTCCTTTTTTTACGCTCGACATTCTGAAGCGTTTTACATATTTTACTTGTTTTACGTTTCCTACGGACTCTATAATGTCATAATGATATACAGGGTGGTTAGTAACTGGTGGTACAAGCAGAAAGGGGGTGATTCTACGCGAAAAAAGAAGTCGAAAATATAGAATAAAAATTTTTCGTTCGAGGATTTGTTTTCGAGAAAATCGACTTTGAATTTTCGCTCGGTACGCGTGCGATACGTTATAACGGATCTCACTGTAGATCGTTGTCTCGATGGAAAAATTAAAAAAAAAAGAAATTAAAAAAAATTTTTATTCTATATTTTTTACTTCTTTTTTTCGCGTAGAATCACCCCCTTTCCGCTTGTACCGCCAATTACCAACCACCCTGTATATCTCGTTGTAACAATCGCGTCGAATGGAAAATTAAACGCGCGCGAAGAATTCGGATCGATCTCTTTATCAAACAAACTGTAGCTGCGCAATCTTGTCGTCGTTGCGGTGAAAATGACGCCGATCGGGGGAAAATAACGACGCGAATTCAAATACGGTAGTTCAAAAGACTGTTTTGAATTTCGATTAATTGCGGGACGTAGTAGCCGCGTATTGGTTACCAACACCTACATTCTCAATCACGCGCAACTTCTGTTGTCGCTAATTATCGTTCATTGTCAGTCGCTGATAATTACGATTAAAACCGTCTCTTTCATTAGTAGCGAAATATGCTTGTTTAGTTGGATCAATAAGTACCACGGTAAATTTACACTTTTCCGTAATTACAATTCACTCGTGTGAAGCCAGGCGACAATTTTTATCCCATGGCAAACTAGAATTTGCAAACAGGACCAAGATTCTGCAAATATTTTCACGCTGCTTTCGGCATTATTTTGTATCGATGTATTCGAGTAAAGTTAAGTTCAGTTCACTGATCGAAACAAACGAGCGTCCGTGCAAACGATATTTTCGGGATTTCTAAATAGTTAAATTTTTTGTGATGTTTGTCGTTGATTCTTGGTAATTGCTAGCGACGATCTTGGAAAATTTTAAGTCTACGTTTTCTTCTTCCGGGAACGCGCGAACGTTCATTTTCCTATCCACTCGTTTGTGGTTCGATGGTGGTCGAAATGACACGAAAGATAAATAGAGCCGCGAAAACGTTACCGAAGAAAAAAATGCGAAAATTCTGGCCGACGAAGATCGTTGCATTGATTGTCTCGGCTATTCAAGATCTTCGCGAGACAAAGGGATCAACGCCTAGTAAAATTATTGGCTATATCAGTTATGGTTCTAACGTGGACGATGGAAAGGTTAAGCGACAAGTGAGTTTATAATCGGAGATATAATAAAGATGATATATTATAGTAACCGATATAAAAACTGTAATATATTAACCGTGCTATCGAAAAGAATCGAGCCGTTATATTATGCGTTTTTTTTATTATTATTTCTGCTTGAATCGGGTTTGTTTAAATAATACGTTACTCGCTGACCGAACGTTGTACTACGGAAAGTTACGATCGCCTGTAATGTTTCATACGTATAATATTTTATATTATACTTTCAAGTTAAACGAGAAAGTTCGAGTTCCTGCGATATAGATTTTCATTTAACTCGTTCAACGACGTTTCATACCCAGCCTTGATTTACGTTTGCTTAATTAAAGGTAAAATCAGTCTTGAAGAGAGGTTTAAAATACGGTATACTAAGAAGGTACCGAGGGCACTATTTCCTTCCTACCTGCGACGAATTAGACCGTGCAAATCGTATCGCCTTGAGATTTGCTAAATTACCGTTGCCCTCTGCATATTCCACGAAATCGAACGTGCTATTTCCCGGTAAAATCGCACCAATGGCAAGTCAGAGAAAGACGGGCAAGTCTATCGCAAAATTGCGAAGAACGAAACGACTTGGGAAACCTCGTCCAATATTAATCTCTCCTACCACTAGTTTAACGAACGCAGTTTGCAACGCTGACGAATTATGAACAATGGGTCGAAATATTTACTAGAAAATTAAAGGAGAGCGTTGTTAATAATTGTATCGTTCTATCGTAACCATTTTTTCACGGATCAATAGTTGTAAAAATTGTTGAATAATTGAAATATATTGGATGGAATTTTACTCGTATAAATAACTCGATAAGCGTCTGAATTTTTTCGTATTTTGTTAATTAGTTGTTTCATATAGTATCTGTATTGGAAAAGCCACAGTACAATAAGTTTTAATAAATCTTTGAATTTAATATGCTGATAATAGATTTGAAAATAGTAATATTATCTGTTTAAAATTTATTTGAAATTGTAACCGCGATAACATTTTTACAACGTTGTCCGTTACCTACTCATTAAAAAATGTTGGTTTAATTATATTGTAAATTGAATGCTTGCTACTGTAATGAAAACTTGTACATCACAGATCTCATTAAAAGTATTGAAACGAAACTGCAATAGAATGTGCGTTGTTTTAAACGTATTAAATGTGTAATTGGAAAAATAAATTACTATATGAAAAACGTAATCTCTAATTGTCGTCTTTTTATTAATCGATCGTATTATCGATCGATATTGTGTAGCAACTTGACCTACGAACAAATTACAATCTTCTTTCAGGTATATACGTGAAAGCTCATTTAACTCTCAACTAGTAAACTATTAATATGTTTCCCTAACTAATATAAACACAACAATTTGAATTTGCAAACAAAGCCGTTACCACAAGTATCATTTGTTGCCTGACACGCATTCTCGCAGTATACAAAGTTAACCACTTGCCGCGCACGTCCGAATGTTTTTGTTCCAAAATTGCCAACGACGTGTTATAAATATATCAGAACAAATTTTACAAAGTGCATGTATTGCTAATTATTAAAAACGTGGAAAGGTGTCTGCTAGTAACTACTAGTTATTTACTAGTCTTACAACCATGCAAGTGGGGTATTTTTCAAGGAATATGCCACCCGCAAAAAAGTTAAAAAAATCCACAAAGAATGCAAGACCGTCAGATACCTGGGCATGACCCTGGACAGGAGACTAACCTTAAAAAACCACTTCACGGACAAAACGAAGCACCTAAAGGACAAACTCAAAAAATTCTATTGGTTCACTGACCGACGCTCCAAACTAAACACACGAAATAATATCCTCCTCTACAAGACCGTAATAAAACCTGTCTGGACCTACGGAATCCAACTATGGGGAACGGCAAGTAACTCCAACATTGAAATACTTTAACGCTTCCAATCGAAAACGCTAAGATCCATTATAGATGCACTGAATCCAACTATGGGGAATAGCAAGTAATTCTAACATTGAAATACTTCAACGCTTTTAATCGAAAACGCTAAGATCCATTATAAATGCACCCTGGTATGTCACCAACGAACTAATACATCGCGACCACAAGATACCAACAGTCAAAGAGGAAATAGCAAAATATAGCGACAGATATAGCAAAAAAGTCAACAAACATCGAAACCCCCTAATTACTGGACTACTTGGTACGTCGGACCAGATCCGCAGGCTGAAGAGACATTACCCGCTAGACCTAAACGCTAGATTCAATTAGTTATCTAAATTAATTAATATTTACTTATTTATAATACATACTTTTAAATTATACTTATCTATAATAAGTATTAACGTATTATAAATAATTAACCATGTCACTGCGCCACGTCAGAAAAAATTACTGAAAATTCTCAACGCGAGAATTGATTGTAAATTTTAATAAATAAAAAGAAAAAAAGAATGCAAGGAATGTCTTGCAGCGTTACATTCAGAATGCCTCAAAATATACCATGTTACGTCGGGCGACATTCTACCTAGACCAGGCCACGCATCGCGGGCAAGATGGGAACCAGATGTCCGCTCATCCTTACTGCGTAATCTCAATAGTCTCAAGGACACATAATTCTCAGGAACTTGCTAGCTAAGGTCCTTCAAACCGAAGGAACATTTCTTTATTGAATCGTTTCTAAAGCTTATTGTTACTACGGGAAAGTTAGTTTTTTCAGATATGATGCTTTCTACTAGCAACTCTTTCCCCCCGGGGCGGTTAACACCCTTTCTCACCAACCAACCTAGAAAATGAACCAACTGACAGCCAAGTCTTCCCCTCACTCTCCCAATGAAACCTTGTCCTTGACAAATCAACTCTTTCTTGCAGATTAGATCTACCCACGACTAGCTTTCCTCCGACACTGCATCGTCACTTTACCTCACTTAGTCAACATGTAATTATCGGGCTTCTATACTTAAATCAACCACTTAACTTGTACATACGCATCAGTGTAATTATCATACCTTCTTTACAAAGTTGTTGGAATAAACATTAAGTTATACCTGTTAATTCAGTGTAATCTCAATCGAACCACCCCTATTATCCTAATCGAAATAGGGGATCGATCATTTCGTGGCGTCGATTATCTAAGCGTAACGGGAATTTACGACTCCCGTTGACGTGCTTTCTCGCGATCGCGTCTCTCCGCGAGTGGTCGAAACATACCATACTGTACAAAATTATTAATAAACAAAATTAGCATTCGTATCTGTGCATAATTTTCTGTGGAAGACTCTACCGAGTAAACAATCAAACTCAGGCAAACAATAACTGATAATAGCAAAAAAAAACGCGTTGCAAAAATCAAAAAGGAAGATCACCCCGTTCGATCACGCAGCGATGTACTTTACAGAGGGGAAATCTCCCTGTTCGGTCGGCTAAGTGTTAAGTAACGCTTCACGACAAGTTACAGTGTAGCGTTCTGGCACGCGCACCTGTAACTTCGTTGCGAAAGCAAGTGGTTAAATGTAGTGCAAACATAGCGTGAACGCATCATAATAAAATTATTTCGTAGTAATTACGAAGTAAAATTCGAAATTAGGGGACATCTTATCGAGAACAAGAGAATAGACATGGAAGTTGAAGGAAGACCAGCCATTTAAAAGATTTCATTGTTGGAAAGATTTCGATGCTTTAGGAGACTAAGTAGAGTGGCTAGCGATTCTAGATAGAAATAGAGAACGCCGATGAAACGGATGAATCGTTTTCTATTACGATATATCGATCGGGTACGTCCCGGTTGGACCGCGTTTCTTTTGCTTCTTCGTTCGGCACGCGGTCGGAGAATTAAGCGAAATGAGGAACGAGCATTTTTCGTAGATTGCATCGAGCGCGGAGGCGGCGGCGGTCGACCGGTTGTGCGCCATTTATAAAACTTTCGAGCGCGTTATCCGACCCGATAAACTTAATAGCTTCCCAAATTTACGAGATTTGGCATAACGTTGGGGAAAATTTCGGACCGCTGCGTTAGCGCGACTGTATTCTTAACTCGCTATACTCCAATCTGCGTATTTTCTTATTCGAACAACTTTATGTAGGTGCTATCACGCGGACGAACTCTTAACGATAGGTATACCGTGTTTGTAAAATAAGAAAATTAATTACTAAAAGGTTAGTAAATAAGAAATAATATGAAATTCACTACTACTGCTTTAGAAATCTTATATTGTCTCCTCGGTGCGTGATCTCTAAGAGTTATTTTAAGTTTAAAAACTTTTAATTTTAATTTTATACAATTTTTTTTTATTATAATTTAGCCGGAAGCAATGGTTATTTAACGTAAACTAAATGCAGTAATGTCATATAACTAAAACAACTTAAATGGATGGTCTACAACTCAACTCACAACTTACAATGAATAACTTGGTAACTTAAAAATTGCTACTTACAGCGATATAATCACTCGCGTACAGCTAGTACTCGTACAGTTATTCTCAGAAATTCTTGTTAATGCAATGCCCACGATACTGTCCACAATACTCTCTTCAATACTATTTGCAAGATTCTCTACAGCACTGGTCACTATTGCTTCACCTATGAGACTGTCTCAAAGACTCTTGACCACTGTAAGGGCTACCTTATATACCTTGTTACCCCCAGCATGTACACGAATTTGGTTGGCTCATTGCTAGGTACGCCTCCTTTACTTACCCTTTCTATTGAAAGACAGGTATAGGGCCCATTGGTGCCTCCCACCTTCATACCGGGTTTTCCAGAAATTTTCCCCCAAACTACGTTATAGTGTGTAGGTCAGTAGTAGAACATGTAATAAATGGTAACAGTCATGTTTTAATGAATTTATCTCACTAAAGCCACCGATGACCCCCGTGGCACTCAAGCGAGATTTCGCGCGATTCACTTATTTTTTGCGATTATCAATTATTTCATATTGCTTCTTCGCATTGCTAAATAATTGTTCTATGTTGTTACGTTCCGGGACCTACTATGAATCATAATCCATCCCTCAGTCAACATGGTGACTATCCATATAAACTTGCTTATTCGGATCTGCAACAATTCTAAAAAACTTAATAAAGAAATAATTTCGATCTCGGATATGGACCATGTTACGACGGTTCTCAGAAATTTGGTCGATCTGGCTGCCAGAAAAATAGCAAAAAGTTATTAACGATAAAGGGAAATTATTTCGACCATTGAACTGTTTTCGTTCTTTTTAAATGAAACTTTGATTATACCCAAAAGTCGGAGAAAATTGCACACCTGCAAATGAAACAAAGCTAGCATTGAACAAATACTTCCCATATGTTATACATTTAAGCCTTGTTATACACTTAAGACGATCCTTGTTACGTCAACGCTTTCAGCACTTTCATTGCTTCGTACCTACAATACATAGGAATTTTCCCCGATACTACACAATTTAAATAAATGAATCATATTTCAACATATCTATACATTTTACCGAAGATCGAAATCAAAGTTTTATCATGTATAAATACTTTCTTAACCACTGTAATTAATTTTATAGTAGAGGGAATATTGAAGTATTTAATTTAGTGTTATTCACGGTCCTTTCCATTAAATTCGATTATATATTCTTTTATTATTTTAATTCAATTCAAATATATACAGGGTGGTTGGTAACTGGTGGTACAAGCGGAAAGGGGGTGATTTTTTTTTTATATTTTTCCATCGAGACAACGATCTACAGTAAGATCCGTTATAA